TGCAGATGTGACCTGGTGGGCGGAGCTAATGGTCAGAACTGTGCAAACCAGGTGTTTTGCACAGTTCAATGGTTGCCACAGAGATGAAAAGTTCCCTCAAACATGCATGAAAGAATCAAAGCAAAACTTCAGGTATGTTTTTGTTGAGGGAATAACATTATGACATGATGTAAAGCTCAAAAAATGTCAATTTTACATCATCCTGCCCTTGACAAGACATTGGGCAGACATATGTATGTATGTATGTAAAGAAAATTGAAATCTAACACAATTTAATTAAATGTTATAACTCATATTAACTGGGTATCTTCAGAGAAACGTGGATGATGATGCTGTGGGCCGGAAGGATCTCTGGTAGCAGTCACTGTAGCAATAAATATGAAGAAGTCTCTGACTGACATGTCATATCTGGGCAGCAGAGAATACATTTCCAGGATGACATCATGAGCCGTTAGCAAGAACTACTAATCCACCTCATTTGTTTTTGCTGCTCCTATTTAAATCTGTCTGGCTCTACGGTTAGAAAGCCGAGTAGAGAGAGGATAGAGTTGGAGGTTTGTTTCTTGTCCACCATGATCGATGGAAGAGATGGTTTGAACTTCCTCCATCTCTCTCTGCCTCCATTCCAGCTCCTCTGGGATTTGGGGGTCATAGTTCAAGTATCATTTGAGCTTTTGAGATCTCAATCAGCTGCTTAAAGAAACAAACAAACAAAAATATACCTTGTTGTTACTATCCACAACTGTCCTGAAGTAAAAGAAAAAAAGAAAGAAAAACAAAACCCAAATTCCAGCTGATCAGCATCCAAAACCACAGCGTCCGAAAAAAAGGCAATTCATCAATAAAAAACATTGTAGGCAAAAAACTACAAAAAGAACAAATCAGAACTAATGTGACAGAGTTACTACAACATGCTGCCATACTAAGCTTAAAAGTTGGGCACCTAAATCTTGTCTTACAAAAACACAGCAGTATTTATAGGACATTCATGCCCATAATGACTTCATGTAAACCTTTAACCACATCTGTATATTACCCTCTATGTCCTGTGATCTGGTGTTATACAGCAATCTGCACATATGGCAAACATTACATTAAAACAAAAAACATAGGAAAGATTTTAAAACCGCACGTGTGTATTGTCAGATCGCCTTATATGGAGAAGATTATGACTCCTTACGCTGTGTGTATGGTTGGCTGATATACACACAGTCTGAGTCAAAGGGGAAGGTCATGAAAGTGATGTACTACTGCCATACTGACACTCTTACGAACATTTTTGGCCTCCAAGTCACATTTGAAATACTAAGGTAAATGGTTGGTGAACAATGTCGTCTAATGCAGCATCTCCATGTTGCAACTTGACTCTAAAGAGAGGAACTAGCCAGTTATAACACTGCCTGGATGGTGTCTTGCAAAACCAACACTTGAGTAAAACCCATGTGACGCACACAGAGAAGAAGCAGAAATGTGTTTCATGTTTAGACCAAGTGGATTGCTCAAACTTGAGGAATGACTGACTTTCTTATTGAAGCATTTTTCCCAACCTTCTCAGTTCCTTTCTAAGTCCAAACACCTATCAGGCCTAATTAGAGCTGTGTGTTTCTCTTCTGGTTGGTCTGATAACCTATCAACCCAACACCTGGAGGTTTTCGGGAGTTCACAACAACGTTATGCATGCTAACCTTGAGAACCGAGGCAGTGTGAGTCAGAAATCAAACAGTCAGCCTACACACACAAGTCAGGGCATCTCGTCATGCTGAAGGGTGGCTGTAAACAAGCCAATCTGCCTCCTGGAGGATCATAAAGCCCAGCCCAACGGCCCTCCGGCTGAACCGGAGGGAGCGGCAGCATTACCTGTCCCATCTTTCCCACTAGCTAACGAGCTAACGGTATCGCACCTCCCGGGAGCTTCGTGTCGACAGCTGCTTCTCGTCGCTCCACGGCGGTTGGTATAAACAACAAATAGAGCGTGGAAGCTAAAAAGAAACACTCACAGGATCCCGGAGCAGGTGGTGCAGACGAAGGAGCCCACTGTCATGTTGACATAAGTCGGGCCGCGCTGGTCACAGTCGAAGCATTTCCTATTCGCAGGCAGGCTAGTCATTTCCCGGAGCATCTTTAGGTGAGTCTCCTCCTGCTTTCGCTTCGCACTCGTCGCCATGGCAAGAAAATAGGGCACCTGGTATCACTGGGAGAAGTTTGGTCAAATGGCCCGGCGGCGGAGTGCGTTTCTTCGGGGGCAGACTCGCCGCGTCTGACGGCAGGGAACGGGGAGACACCTTGCTGAGGTCCAGCGGGTAGATTGGGTGACTGACAAACTTCTTCTTCTGTAACTGAAACGTTGACAAAACCCAACCCCTCCCCCAGAGGCTGCGCCATCTGTCGGTTTGGAATGCTGCCTTGTGTTTTGTTTCACAATGGCAAGGAAATTATCAAGGGACATAAGTGCCAAAATGCAATAAATAAGTCGTAAACAAGTATTCATGTATGTAATAATTTGAAAGAAAATAGTGAATTTATTAAGTACAGCTTTACATTTTAAGAACCAAAATTTAATAAATTAAGTTGTAAATAAATATTAATTTCTCTCATAATTCCAATAAAATGGTATATTAAAATACAACTTCAAAACTTAAGAACATCATGCTAATTGGCAAGCATGAGGGTGGCAGTGTCATGCTGTGGGGCTCTTTTACTCTTTGTTTGTTGAAAGTATTTAGCATTAAAAGAAGAGGACGACTCTTAAAATCTTTTAACTTCACCCCAAAATCCAACTAAATAGTTGTTGGTTTACATAGTTTAAACCAACAAGTGTCTTTTTTTAATCTGGATTCTAAACACACAACGAGGGCTCATTAATAAATAATTATCAGAAAATACTTCATAGTTTGTATTTAATATGCTTAAATGCTGAAAAAATTACGTTCATATTATTTTATTTCATAATTCAGCTCAGTCACTGCTTGGGTCCATAGCTGCTATCTGCAACTATGATTGATATTTGATACAAATCATAGTTTGTCACCAATCAAACATGATTGGTGTTTGATACAATCAAATACCAGCCATCAGATGTTGGGAATTATTTGAAGAAGCACAGTGGCAGTTTAGATTATTTAATAAAGAGATGTAGCAGAGGAAATAAATGCCTAAAAAAAGGATATATCTGATTTTAAGACATGATTTAAAGATTTTGATATTTGTGTATTTAATAGACTGGCACATTAATATACTTAACAAAAACTTTTGGTTCTCTGTAGTAAATGGTCCCACAAAAGAGCAATTAAAACAATTCACATCAAGTCACAAAAGCATTACATGACCAAATACAACTCAGTGTTGTTTTAATCGTAAAAGAAAAATACTTACATATAAAGACATTAAAAAATAATAAAAAATTAGGATTTACATCTTTTTTTCTTCATAATATTGATTTTACTATGTGGACTTAGCAATCTCACTTTCTCTTTCTGAAATTAAAGCAACAACTTAAAATTCAAGCCTTTGGTGTCTGTCTTGGCTCCTGTTACACAGCAGGTGCTCATTGAATATCCAGAGAAGAGACGTCGCCTGTCCTTGGTTTTGGCCTCCCTGACAGTGGTCACTCTGTTCTCTTTCATGGCCGGACACCTCCTGCTCTGCTTGTCTCACTGGCTCTGCAGGAAACTGCTGCATGGACCAAGAAATCAAATGGAACCGTGTTGTTTTCTGAACACCACTGGTCGTACACGGGCACAGTACTGTACTGTCGGAGGCTGTGGTGTTCCAGATGCAGGGTTGTGGTCAGTATATTTTCATGATTCTCAGCTGGGTTTCTTTTAATTGTTCCAAAAATAGGCTCTCTGTCAAATAAATTATTTTAAGCTGCACATTATTTATCAATCAGCAGCTGACTGAATTTACCATCAAAATTATTGGATTGGGATAATAATCTGTTATCATAAGAAAATGCATCCTGATTATTTTTGTCTGGAATATTTACCTTGGAGCATAATCTTCAGGTTGAATTGTTTTTCTTTTTTTTTCATATATAGTTATTCCGATTTAGGAACAACTATAAAATAAAGGCAGACTTATTATGATCTAGGTTTCTTTTTGTTGTCACCTAATGAGGAAAGTGATTCTACTGGCTGTGGAGGAAAAGAGAAAGAGAGGAAAAATGTTTAGACATCAAAATAGCAGATTTTCAACATTGAAAAAATGTATCTAAGCACCTCTGCTCTAAGGATGTGAGTGCATCTGAACACACAATAAGACAAAAACTTTTACAGTCGGGTTTTGTAATGAGAAAGGAAGCAAAAAAGTCCTTTCTGTCCAAGAGAAACAACAAAGACTGACTGGAATTATGCAGGAAGTGGGCCGGTGGAGAGCAGATGATTGGTGCAAAGTTATTTTCTATGGCAAATAATCTTAATTGTTTAGGACATCTGGAAAATAGTTTGTGCAACAAGGAAAAAGTATGTCAACAGTGAAGCATCCTGATACATTTATATGGTTGCTCATCTTCCAAGGGAGTGGACTTCTTCCTCACATTTCTGTCAAAGCATAATGCCATAATGAATGGGATCAAAAACATCCTATATGAGTAACGTCATGAAACACTAAGAACCGTGCTCCGCTCTCAAAAAGCAGTGGTGAAACAAAAAGCCAACAAACTGTGGTAAACTCCAAATACGTGTATACTAATTTTTATGTGTTTATTTATTGGGTTTCACAACATGAATTTAACATAAATTTTCTGAGAGGGCCATGTTTGGGGATGACTAAGTTTAAATTCATCACTGATGAAGTGGTGAAGATTTATGTTTTCTAAATATTCATCCATATGTTTGTGTATTTTTTCCCTTTTGCTCTCCTCACCTGTCCTCTCTTTCTGGTAACTCTGAAGAAGTTGTCCATGCGCATCTGCCTGATACATCCCTTGCCGTCCCTTGCCTCCTTCTCCTTTTTCCTCTCCTCTCGCCTATTTTCTCGATGTTCATGAAATGTCTTCATGCGATGACGGATCCTCTCCTCCCTAAAAAAGCATACGGAAATAAATGGAACAAATCCTTCGGCTCCACATCGGTCCAGGTCCACATAAACAGAAAAACAGGCTCTATGAATCTGTACCTGACATGTTTGGTGTGACACAGGAAGTCCACCACGGCTTCTTCGTCCAGCTCCCTCCACATCAAGTTAGGAACTGGAGTTTCTGTTTCGTCCAAGAAAATCTTCCTGGCCTCTTTGTATTTCCATAAAAGAGGTACAGGATGGGTCTGGAAGTATGTGACTATGTTAGATTTTTTTCTTTATTTTTTTTTCTTTAGAATTTCTGTATAGTGAGAAGTAGATCAAAACAAGAGATTACCTCTCTGTTGATGTGCAACACCACATTCTCAATAGTGCGATGCTTCTGGATGAGAGTCAGAGCTTTCTTTGGACCTATACCAGGGATCTTGTCGCAGTAGTCACAGCCCAGCAGAATGCAAAGGTCAACAAGCTAAAAGGCATTTTGCAAAATAAGACAGGAAAAAAGTGATTATTCATCACAAAACTTTAAACAGCGATGTCAAACTCATTTTTATTTTGGGCTATATCAAGATTATGAATGTCCACAAAGGGCCGGTTGGGGTAAAACGCATTGATAAAACCCATTAACAAATGGGTTTAAAGCTACAGTTTAAACCCATTAACAAAGAAGTTCAATAATACTGAACATCATTTCACATTCAGTAATTTGGCAATACACATACGAAAGAAGATTGTAGCCACTGAAAAAAAAATATTTTGGCTTCAATCTTCTGAGATCAAAAGTCATAATTCTGAGAAAAATGTCAACATTTTCACTTTTTTTCCCTGAGAATTTTTACATTTTTTTCTCAGAATCCTGTCTTTTGATCTCAGAAGATTAAAGTCAGAATAAATCTGGTAAATTCTGAAAAAAAAAAAAGTAAAAATTCTAAGAAATTTTTTTTTCCTGTTGCCCTAATCTTCTATTGAAAACTGCTTTCATTTGATTGATAAAATATTATTTAGACATACAACAGTTATTTTCAGTGTTCTATGTATGTGTCCCTCTGGGCCACATAAAACTTCAAGGCGGGCTGGATTTGGCCTGCAGGCCTTGAGTTTGACATGTGCTTTAAATGATTCCAATAACAGAAACTTAAGCAAAAGTTTCATTAATGTTTCGCTCTTACCTCCTCATGAGTAATCTGCAGTTTTTCCAGCAGCCTGGGTAATGAGTATTCCACAACTTCACTAGGAACATGAGCATAAAATAAAAATCAGATAAGACTTACCGTCTGTCTAATACAGCAAAGCACTGAACTCTGTTATCACTGGAACTACTTTACTTTGTTCTTATATATTTATACAGATTATAAGGTTGCAGTATGTAACTTTTATAAAAAAAAAAAGTTTTTTACATATTTGTTAAAACTGTTGCTATGTCGTGAGAGTACAGCATGAGACAAATAATCTGGGGGGGAAAAATCGAGCTCCTCCACCTTCTCCCAGTGCCAACTAGAAACAACCAATCAGAGCCAGGAGGCGGGTCTTATGGCTGTCAATCACCATCTGTGTGGCCCTGCTCAGGCTCCCCTGTCATTCCCCTCCTTGCTCTCTAAGCTGCAGCTGGCATAGCCGGTTGTCAATGCTAAGGCTAGTTAGCATAGCCACCAATGAAGGTAGATAAACAATTTTCCTGTAACGGTAAATTGTTTCTCCGTCATTAGCACATTTAGCGACCCGTACACAAGCGTGGCCCTCATCCTGGCTCTGATTGGTTGTTTTGGTTGGTGCATTTCTTCAATCGGCAATAGCAGCTCAAGGAGAAGGTGGAGGAGAACCATCTTTTCAGATTATTTGTCTCAAAATTTGCTGTTACAACATAGTGACAAATATGTAAAATAAATGTACATTTTTTATAAAAGTTACATACTGCAGTTTCAACATACCTGTTCTTCTTAGCATTCAGCTGACGAATGAGAACGTTCGCTCCAAAGGGCAGTGTGTCCATGTCCTCGGAGGCCACTGCATCCACAACCCCATGTCTCACCAGCCGGGCACAATGCGCTTCAGCGTCCCCTGGAGCCTGAAAGGCAGAATCCTGTGCATGAAGTATGAAAAATATTTTTCAAAAAAAAAAAAAAGTGGAAACTGAAACAAGTTGTACCTGGATGACAGGCACACCCATACATTTCAGTAGCTCAATGGAATCCTTAGTCTGGGCTGATGCTGCATAAAAGAATTATTCAATGACATCAGAATTTGGAAACATTTAAATATGATAATGAAAGATCCTTTTACACTCTTTATGCATGTGGACCTTCTCCTGTTCTTTTGGGGGAGCTCCAACCAGCTGCCTCGGCTCGCCTCTCCAGCTGCAGAAAAGCAAGTCTCAATCAGCGAGAGGAATTTTTTAAAATCTGGAATCAGTCAACAGTCAGTCTATCGTTTCTACAGCAGACCAGTTAAACTGCCGATTTGAGCAAAACAGGAAAGGGTCTTTGGTCCCACAGACATGTTCTCCAACTCAAAATGATCCCCAAAAACAATTCAAAACACGCAGGCTGTAAATGTTTCTTACAACAGGTGTCTTTTCCACGGGAGGCTTTCCATCGAATACAAAGACCGGCTTTATGTCGTGTTCCAGGAAGGTCAGTGTGCGGAAAAAGAGTCCAGTCAGGGGGCTGTGGAGAAGAAACCCAACATCACCAACATGGAAGAGAAGCTATTTTGGCATTTATAGCTGAATTGTTGGACTATTTTTTTTTAACATTACAGGTGTTTGTATTTTTTCTGATAAATTTCTCAAAGATCTCTCACCTCAAAGAGGGCGTTGCTGCTCGAAACTGGTTCAGAACCACTGAGGTATCCAAGGCGATGACTTTCCCTGCGATGGAATACAGCAGCAGCGCAATGAACATAAAACTACACAAGAGTTCTTCACTTACTGGTTCCTGTCACTGACATAGTTTCCCAAAGGACAAACTGAACAGATATTTCCTTGATGGCAGAACAAAAAGCCTCTGTTTCAAAAGATTTCATTTGATAAATGAAGATGTTTTCTCTTTAAATGTGAAAAGTAAAGTTGCTTGATGAGATAATTTCTCTGCATACACCTCAGAAAGTACTTGGCTGCGCCCCTGCATGTTGCTTACAGGTGGTTCCATAAACCATTGTATCTGCAAGTGAACTTATACAATTTATGCATATTTATGGATTTATACATGACTGTTCTCTGCATAGTAATGAACTGTTTGGAGAAGATCTCATAATCCTACCCAGAATAACATAAAAATAAGATCATTAATGAATATATTTCATGTACGGCACACACCTAACAGCTATAGCTGCTTGGACTTCCTGATGATCAGTAAAAAAATTTATGCATTTTCTCAGGAGCACATTGCTATTATTTACATTATTTGTGTCATTTCTTAGTTATTAGATCTTACAGAGATATTTAACTACAAGGTTAAAGCTTACATACTGTTTATTAGGGTGAGACCAGTTAACACGATTTTGAATTTGACTTCATGTGATAGCACTGTAACTTCAATTACTGATGTAATTAGCACCAAAGTGACTGTTTGGTATACAATTAGAAGCTTTATGAATGCTAACGTTAGCTGCTAGCAACCTTTGTTAGAGATAATTAAGGCAGATCAAGCTGGTCGGCGTTCAGTCCTCTATTACCTGTATAGTCACTGATATCCTTATAAGAAACTGCATTTGGAGCATTAGAACGAATTAAGTCAGCCAGTTTAGTGATCCCCATCCTCCTAATCACATATGGACTTTTGTTTTTCTCCCACTTCCGGTTTTGAAAAAAAAAAGGAGAAAATAAAACAAATAGCGTCGGGTTCTCAATATATCTCACGGTAAATCTACTTTGTATCCGTTTAGAAACACAGCGGTTGACTAAAAGGCGTTTTATCGTCAACGAAATTCAGCTATTGAAACAATTTTTTCCTAAGCTCGGCAAGTCAACAAAGTGAACGGTAGGGGTCAGTACTGAGCAAACAGATGGGTTTTGAGGAAACGGACCTCCAGCATTTATTATAGCAATAATATTTACAGACATTTCACAAATGAATAAATTAGAAACAAATATTAACCTAACGTATCCTCTCTTTAAATAAATATTAATACATATGTATGCAATGTTCACATAAGAAGGATGCACAACAGATGAATATGGTATTCAAAAACAAGTATTCATCTACTACACCTGAGCATGAACACATTGGCTCCTGGATTTACAGCAAAATTCATGATGAATAAAACAATGGGATTAATGGCTTTAATCTGAGAAACAAAAAAACAGCTCCAGCTCTGTGAATAGTATGTGGAATCTTCATGTAACAGATCATAGTAAGTCTTCCCCCACCCACCCCGCCGCAGATACACAATTCATATAAAACATATGAGAATCTCCTAAACATGTGACATGCAGGGAAATGGCTATGGCATCTGCAGAATTATTAATATTTTGACACTTTACGAATGGTTAATGATGGCCACAGCAGGGGACCTACATTTCAGCCTAGATACGAGACCTAAAACTGTGTTTGTCACTTAAAGAAATCCTTGTTAGTCTTGTGAGTCTTTTCAAACACATGCTGCTCAGTTTAATAGAGGCCTGTCAGTAACAGCTGAGTTTTGTTTTTACTAAGACAAGTCTTTTTTTTCTGTGCAAGCCTTTAAATTCCCCAACCTGTGTAAAAAACTAAAAGTAAACAAATGTTGTCCAAAATATGCAAATAGAGTGTAAAACAGGAACTGGCATTATGGACACTCTTTCTCTTTCTGATTGTTGCTGTCAATTGAACACAATTGTTATTTTTTATTTTACAGTTTCATTCTTTTTTGTAACATTTTAACATTTTATATGACTTGTAGTGAGCTTTGTCTCAGTGTTTGGTGTCAGGATTATTCATTAATAGCCACAGTAAAATTATTTTAACTCAGTCAGATAACTAGTTTTAAATTTGACAACAGAGGCAACAGCTCAGAAAATACAATCAAGATGTCTGGCCTTCATTTTGTGGGCAATAACTTGCAGGAACAAGATATATACTGAGTAAACAGAGCACATCCAGAAAGCATCTAAAGCGCTTTACTTTTTCCAAATTTTGAGCACTTTCTGGTTTCACTGGTTCAGGTGTTCCCTAGTCAGAGATAATCTTGAAATCTGTAATTAAAAAAAAAAACAAAAAAAACAAAAAAAAACAACATTTGTTTTCTTTAATTATTGTGGAATGTCAGAAAAGACCTATGCTGACTGAACAAGGATTTACTTTGGTTTCCAGTGTTTTTGGAGATTCGGGCCATATCCCGGTTTAGCGACGTAACCAGATCCACGTGTTAATGAGCCAGAACGCCACCGTGGCCGAGTACAGGACCACCTCCCGCTTGGAGCGTTCTTTGTTTTCTTCCTCCAGCAGCTGCAGACGTCTGTTGAGTTTCACAATCTGGTGAGCACAACAATGTGAATGTTTACTTACACACTTCTTTTTTTCTTTTTTTTTTTTTAAGTTGAACGCTAACTCTGCTGGGCTGTGATAGGGAACCTAACAAAGTCCCCAAACGCCAACACATCCAGTCCCTGTTTCAGACCTAATCATTTCAAATGAAAAAGAGTTAAACGTTGAGAAAGATAGAGCTTAAGATTACGGGACTCGTTACCTGACGCCGCAGCGATGAAGCATCAACTAAGCCAGATTCGTCAGGGTTCATATCCAGAGCCAAGTCCAAGTGGGTTCTGTGGAAATTAACACATCTTTGGTTAAATTAATAACATAAACAGCATCCTGAACAATATTCTGACATTCAGCATATATCCAACAACACTAATTTTCTTGTTCTTTTAGGGCAGTATCCTAACTGCTTTCAATCACTACAGTTTTTTTTGCAATTTCGCAGAACCCAGAACACTTAAAGTTCTGCGGGCCTTACTTGGCTCAATCAACTTCAGAAGTCATGATTCAACAATAGGAAAGCAAGCTAAAAATCACATTCATTAGAGAGGACCAGGGCCAAGAACCACTGCTGACCAAAAAGACTAAACAAAGGCCCAAAAACATTGATGATCCTCAAGAGTTTGGGGAAAATTGCAACAAAGGGTGAAAGTTTTGGAAAGGGTATTGCATTGTATCTGGTATAGAGTGATGACAGCTGGAGGGGTTTAGAGGTTAACTGATGGAACAATGAATTCAGCTCTCTAGCAAAAAATATTGAAGGACAATGTCTGACTATGAGCTCTTGACCTTTAGCTCAAGCTTTCATGGGAAGCATGTTTCAAAACAAACCGGCATGTCAACCTCTGCTTCCCTTTAAAAAACAAAATCAAAACCAAAATGAATCTATGAAGCAGCTCACTCAAAATCCAGACTTGTATTTGATTAAGATGATGTGGCTTGACCTTAAACAGGCCATTCAAACTTAAGAACCTTCCTATAAACCAATTCTGCAAAGAGTGATCCCCAATTCCTCCAAATCGATGTAAATTATTACAAACAGTTGCTGCCAGTTGTTGCTGCCAAGGTTTGTATATACATTCAATTCAAACAATCAGAGCTGGCCATCTATATGGAGCAACATAAAAAATGTAGTGATTAATGAGAAAACAACCAAAAACAACTCACCTCCGGTGGCTATCATCTAAGAGTTCAAGGACCTGCTGATAAGCACGGCGCGTCGTTGACTGAACGTAAGACAGAAACCCAGCAGCTGTAAACAGGTTGATGTTTGCATCTTCTGGAGAACAGAGGGGAGGACAGAGGCGGACAGGGGGGGCTGATGGGGAGGGGGTTACGCTAGCACAGGGGGAAGATTGGAAGAACCGGTAGATTAACAAACAATGATGAAAAATAGACTTTAGGGACCTTTAGAGATCAGCAGCACTTCAGGTTTCCTTACCTTACGTCTCCTCTGCTACAATGGCTGCCATGACGACCAGGTATGTTCTCACTTGCACTGCGTTCCCTCCGAGAGCGGGTGTTATAACTGGCCTGTAACACACAGAAAGAGCTCATTGAATTCCAGGCTCACATCTAGTGATCAAGTGTTATTGAAAATCCTTAATCATTAAATGGCCAAAATCAACAGCTTTCCTGCTGGTGTTCGTCTCAGCATGCCATCACGTGAAGCAGAAGACTAACCAGACATTCATGTAAGTCGGCTGTGTGACAGAAGAGAAACGCCTAAAACATACAGGACAGTGGGTCCTGAGGATCTCTCAGTGGCCAGTGTGACAAAACTAGTCACTGAATACACCGTCCATCTTTGTACTGACTGGGCCTGTATGCACTGGCCTGTCCAGAGAAGCCTACAGATATTACTGGAATTTCAACATGAAATGTAAAATTTCCAATAACATAGAACTATCAGAGATTATGAATAAAAATCAATCAAATGTTATTTGCATAGCACCTTTGAGGAACAAGATATTTCAAAATGCTTTACATCATAAAAACACAAAAATACAAAGTCATCAAACACACAGTCAACATTACATTTTGCACATAAGGTGATCACTGATTGTTTCATGATTAGGTTTCAAAAGCAAATCTAAACAGCTGAGTTTTTAGTCTAGATTCTAAGAAACTCAGTGTTTCAGCAGTTTTGCAGTTTTCTGGAAGTTTGTTCCAGATTTTTGGTGCAAAGACGCTGAATGCTCAAGTAGCAATTTTCCGAGTTTATATTATAATCCACAAAACTAGAGTCTGATTGTACTCACAGTGTGGCTGGGATTACTCTGTGAGTTGGCAGCTTGATCCGTTTCCAGAGAGTCCAGCGGCTGTTCTGTAAGGGTGAGGACACGCGGCGGGGCCTTCATGTTCAGGAGGTCCACCGATGGAACCGATTGAATTAGATCTAAATCTCTTGGTTGAACAAACCTCGACTCTCCATCGTCACCTGCAAGAAAAAAAAGAAAAAAAGAAAGAACTTAAAGGGACATTTCTTTTACCGCTTCTAGCATCCCACTGATGATGGTGTTAAAGCTGTTTGTCCTGGATGGTCTGCAACAGCTCCACAACTTGAACTGCTCCATCTATGTTTTATTTTAAATGTTTATCATTAGTGACCCAAACCCAGTATCCTACCTGCAACAACAATTCTTTCAGGAACCTGCATCAGAGTTGTGTGAACCGGTAGAGGTGGCTGAAGCAGAGTGGGCCCCGATCCGCTCTCCAGCGCCACCTTGAGGGTCTCTGGGATTCGCATGCGCTGGCTGATGCCCTCTGTGTACTCCAGCTCATAATGGATGCGGTTAATCTCAGCCACCTCGGCAGGCGGGGTAAAACTTGGCCCACTCATCCAGCCTACTGTCAAATAGACAAAAAAAAAAAAAACTAACACAAAATTTTCTTTGAATATATGTTTCTGGGATTTGGTGTCTCTCACACATAAATATTCTGATTTTCTTACCTACAGAATTACAGATGCAAATGGAGCCGTCGAGTTATTTTACTCTAAGATGAACTAAAGTAAAAATCAGCCTGATTTCAGAAAAATTCACAACTTTAATGTTTTCCCTATGAGAGATCACAACATACTTAGGCACGGCTAGGTAACGGTGACTAAAACACTCTTCATTGTGGATGTTGTTACTGACTGAAGTTAGCTGCTTCCTGTGTCAGTAACATGTTCAAAAGGAAGTCAGAAGAAGCACATGCCTGTGGCCACAAGAGAATGAAAAACAAGAAATCTGATATAAAAATATATAAAATATAAAAACTTTTGAGATTAAAATAAATGCGCACCTGATGGGTTTTGTTTAAAATGGTGTAAAATATGGTCATTTGTTTTATAGTGGAGACATTGACTCTACTAGGATGTACATCAGACAGCCTGAGGGAAGAAACTGTGTCAGGACTGGCTGTTTTTTTGTTGTTGTTTTCTAACAAAGAGCACGCTGTAGCGCTGAGCTTAAAGTAAACTGTTTGTGTCCAGGATGTGTGAGGTCAGGTCTGCAGAGATGTTAGCTGCCCTTTTCCTGACCCTAGTCCTGTACAAGTCCAGGATGGAGAGAAAATCAGCCCTGATGATCCTCTCTGTAGACCCGACAGTCCACTGCAGTCTGGCCCTGTTGTCGAACACCAGACTGTAGCTAGAGTTTAAAACATGTTAGACCGAACCTACCAATCTCTATTTCCTAGAAGCAAAAGAATGGAGTGGGTAAGATGAGACAAAAGAAGGTTTGATTTTAAATGGCACCCAGTAATCTCTGGGGATACACGATTCCCCGTCTGGTAGGCCCCAGTCCAAACTCTGACAGAGAACAGGAGAGGGACTATAGGTTAGGCAGGAGGAGAAGCCTGGCATGACATCCATCACAGCGGACGGACCAATTCATCTTTTGAATTGTTTATTATAAATTATTAATAACTCTTATATTCTTCTTCTTGTAACTTCACACACACATAATATAACATCTAAAGGTAAAAATGATGAAGTCACACGATTTCAATCAAGCTGCCCTTCTCCATGCCAGTGGATAACTACTGCTTAAGCGGTTGAATTTATTTCGAGCAGAATCATTTACGGCTAATTTGGACAGGCTCAGCGATAGCCCCGCCTTGAAGCTGCCGCGTAGTCACAACATGTTGTCTGGTTCGTCTGAACAGACTGTCCGGTAGTTGTGTCGCGTCCTGAGAGGACTACAGTGGTGGAAGATATGGCGTGTAACAGCCATGCTTCATAAATACTGGATGAAAAACAGTGTTTCTCGCAGCACTGCGTTAAATTACATAACACTGACATGAGTGTAGCCGTTGCTGACACGCGGTTTCAATGTCACAGAATGCAAGACGCCATGTTCAGCCTGAATACAAATTAACATTACGCTAATTAACTAAAATTGGCTAACATACTATTTAACATTAGCAAGCCATGAACAGTAGCCCGCGTTAGTATGTTAGCAAAGCCGTGAGCTGAGAATTGCGTACCGTCTCCAATGTAGTGACACAGCTATGAACCCTGCGTGACTACTTACTGTTTGGGGTTTTTTGGTCCACGCTTTAAAATGTCATGTCAAATCAGTGTTCCATTCGTTAAATATACAGCTTCTGCTGGAGACAATCAGCGAGCAACTGTACAGCTCCTAACGCAAATAAAGAGTGCTGTTGCTCCAATCACAATCGCGTGCATGACGACGGGGGGCGGAGTTTGAGACTTCTATTGCTCGCGGAACCGAGAGCTGCTATAGCAGGTGGCACAGAGGTTATAAAACGAACGCACGGTACTCTCACATTTCAGCAGGATGCTTCTTTATTAAGGAATCAACCGGCGAAATAAATAATAGAGAATGGCCGTCTACAAAATGCCTTCTGCTTATTATTCAGTTTTTATTTATTTGAATGAGTAACATGGACATATCCACCCTAATTAGGTTACTATTTCCATAATTTTGTATTCACCCTTTTGTCCTCTTGTTTACATATCTATCCAGTTCTAGTATTACGATTATTAGGCACCCTTTTGTCAAAATAGGGTCAGATGCTTATGCTGAAGAAAATATTTTAATCTAAGCAGGAAAAGAATGGATGAGTAGGACTTACATATGAGATTGTGGTTATGTGCCTTATAAAACTATAACTTGCATCATAGTTTTATAAGTTTGTTGCGCACTGTTGATTTTCAGTGGCAGTAAGTGGAGATCTCTTTCTAACACTATATAGTGGTGTAGACTAACACGTGTAGTTAGTCTACACGAATCTTAATCTTAATCTTAAGAGTGAATGTAACTACAGCTCCCAGATGAGTTACTATTTAGTAAAACAACACAATATTGAAATCTGGAGAACAATTACAATCCATAGAAAAATGTTGTGTTTTTTTTCATGGCAAATCGACATCTGTTAGCTACAGGAAAATAAGCTATTATTAATAATAACCTCATGCTATTTCATAAAAAAACATCACTTTAATAGCTCCATATCAGCTGTAAAATATTAACATAACTATTAAAAATATCAGGTTGAAAACTTTCTGCTGCAAGTGTAGAAATACACCTCCCAGAATTCCATCGGCTTCCTACACAGAGCGCATGCGTAGTCGGTCTGAGCCATTATTTTGTCCTCCTCAAGCTTTAAATGAACAACAGGCTAAGCGCTCCCTGAAATGAATTAAATATTAATTCACGGAAAGAGATTTTTTTCTCCCTCCGTCCTCACCGAGAACATACCATGGAGCGTGTCGGTCAGTAGCTCGCTGTCTCGCCGGGCCTGCTCGGTCCTCCGTTGGGCTTGAAGGCCGAAAACGGTACGCGGGGTGACAGCCCCGTTAAAAGGCAGCAGTTTGGGTGTTTATCTGCTCGGCTAGCCTCTCAGCTAGCTTCCTAGAGAGCAGCGACGGGAAGCGGCGAAAACTGTAAGGACTGATAAGTTTGGAAAGACAGAGCTGTGACTGTCGCTCTGTCCGACCCGGCAGAAGGGATGGCACACCTTGGAGACTTACAGAACCAGGTACAGAACCTCCTGTCACCTTTCTTATCCTTTGTTAGTGGATTCCTGTGGCTGTCAGGCTTTTCAGGAATAAGGATGGGTGGGGGTCCAAGACATCGGGGCACACGGTTAAACCAATTGTCACAACATGTACCATTTTTTATTATCATTACATTTAGCAAGAAAGATGATTGGAGATAATTTGTAAGATAATTTAAAATGTAATGTGCTGTTTTATAATTTCAATTCTCAGTAATTTTGCATTTGCAGTTGATATATTTGTGCGCTGAGACAACCTCGTAGCTTTGAGTTTATTTGCTGCTGTTATTTCAAATATAGTAATGTAAAACAGACGCAGCTAATCATTTTCTATTAATATTTTGCAGCACAGCACTATAGTACATCGAATATACATTTAAGGTAGCAATAGCAGCATTGCTTTCTGTGCTTTTTATGTCAATTAGGGACAACCTCACAGTGCACACACACACACACACACACACACATACAATAAAACATAAGCACCTTTATTAGCATACAAAATGCTTAGATTTGTCTGTCACTCATCCAGAACACCAAGCTGGACCCGGAGGAGTACTTCACCAAGCAGGAGCGGATTGGAAAGGGTTCTTTTGGAGAGGTTTACAAGGGTCTCAACAACCGCACCAAGGAGGTGGTGGCCATTAAAATTATTGACCTGGAAGAAGCAGAGGATGAAATAGAAGATATTCAACAGGAGATCACAGTCCTGAGCCAATGTGATAGTCCATTTGTTACCAAGTATTATGGATCATATTTGAAGGTGAGATAGTAAAAAAAACAACACACACACACACATAACAATGGGATAACTACATGAAGAGCCTCGCAATATTATAAATTTTTCACATTTCATGTCACAACTACAAACAAGAATGTCTTATTGAGGCGTTTTATGACATAGACCAACACCAAGTAGCACAGAACTGTGAAGTGTCTTTCCTTTTCAAAATCCTTCATAAATAATAAAAGTTCATGTTTCCTCTGACCTTTCTGCTTGACATAAACTGATTAATAAGTGGATAGCTGAAGGTGCTTTGTGGTAGTTTTTTACAGAACTTGAACCAGGTGAAGCTAAAACTGTCACTTGAAGAGTACTGATCAGAGCTTATTTACAGACATTTATCTCAAATGTGCAAAATGTATACATTTCCTGTGCAGCTGTGGCTTAATTACTGTTCTGAACATGTTGTTCTTTCAGCAAGTTGCCTTTTTTCTTTAGTCTGTATACCTCACTTAATGATTAATCCATTACAAAAATTATTTCAATAATTGATTAATCACAATTAATTGTTTCAGCCTGTTTGTATTACATAAAATCTCAACAATCCCAACTGGGTTTTGGTTAACAAACCAAACAAATAAACAATTATAGCATAATCTAGACTTAATGTGACGGAGGTCAAACTATTGTGTTGACAGCCAAATAGACTTTAAAAGGAAACCAGAGAAAGAGTTTAAATTAAATAAACAATATAAAAAAAGTCTAAGAGAGAAGTAGCAACAATTTATCCATAGATTAAAATGAATCACTATTATTATTATTATTATTATTATTTATTTATTTTTTTTTAAGCAAAGAAAATGTCACATCCAAAAATCAGAATAACTAGAAAACTAAAAAATAAGTCTAATTTATGTGGTTATAACTTTAATTTCAGAAAGTTGAAATAAGAACCAGGAGATGAATTGTAAAACACTCTAAAACAAGTTAAAGACGATGTGAAATAACTGTCAGTTAATACTCGATTCTTTTTTTCCCCCTGTAGGGAACCAAGCTGTGGATCATCATGGAGTATTTGGGCGGAGGATCTGCTCTGGATCTGGTAAGATGTTTTCTACGTTTCAGAGCTCGTTGTTGATGCAGCCAGACTGAAAACGAGAATCCAAACCGTCCCGTCTCTCCCCGGCCCAGCTCCGCCCCGGACCTCTGGAGGAGACCTACATCGCCACGATACTGAGGGAGATTCTCAAAGGCCTCGAGTATCTGCACTCGGAGAGGAAGATTCACAGAGATATCAAAGGTAATGAAAGATGTGTGACTACAGCCTGGTGCTGGCCGAGCCCGAACCAGATGCTTCACACTCAGCCACGCAGTCACAGTCACACTACACACGTTCTCTTCTGCTTGATTTCACAAGCGTGTGTGAGGTTGTAACGTCACAGCCATCTGTAGGTGCTAAACATATTCACGTTGGTATTTTATTTTCATTTACATCTCTTTTTTTTTTTAATTAACTTTCATTTTAGATTTACATCATGATGCAGCATTATTCCCTCATCAAAAACATACCTGGAGTGTTGCCTTGATTGAGAAATCCATTAATCTCCCGTGGCAACCATTCAGCTGTGTAAAGCACCTCAATTACAAAGTCAAATTTGAAATAATTAAGTATTTTTGTAACAACCGATAGTATGCCTGAAAAACACTTAACACTGCCCCTTTAAATGTTTTTCTTTGTTACTCATAAAATAGATTGATTGTAATAATCCCACAGTGACAAAAGTGAGACATTTAATAAGTTGGACTATTAGTGTGTTTAATATTCCGCAGAAACATGAATGCATCATTTCTCCCTGCTTCTTGACCTCTCTGTAGAGCGTTTGTGCTTTTTAGTGCTGAAGCCACAGATTCAGTGTCTTGTTCTCAGCAACACGTTTCAGGGATTGCATTTGTCTCCACTCTGCTCTGCTCTTCTCTCCGGGGTGCCCTGAAGAGTTTAGTCCTACAGCTTAGTGCTCCTGTTGAGACATCTGAAGTGAAAGACGTGGATCATTTAGTTTCATCAGCTCCTTCTGGTTGGATACAGCTAGTGAGAAAGCATGATGTCTTAAAATTCAATGTGTTGAAAGTAGGAAAAGAATGACCAAATGTGAGGATTGAACCATCTTTCTCAGGGGTTGAATGTTGATTTCTTTACCTTTGGGCCATACATGCACAGCTATTGCTTTTATGAGATTTTACTTCCTTAAACCTTCCAAAAATGATCAAATGGCTGCATGTGTTTCAGTTTTTGGAGCATGCAGGAGGCGTTTGTTTCTCTCTGGAATCTTTCAGTGATATATTAAACAGAAGAGCTGCAAAAAATAACTAAATATAAAAGTTAGGGACTGCCAACTGGGAAAAAAAACACATTTAGTTTAAACCAGTACAAACTAGAAAACTAACTCATGATAAACTTTTAGAGTGCTTCTCATCTATTTTACTTACTGTTATATATAGAATATTGATATGGTTCCCTCTTAGGCTATTCTCATGTGAAAAGGTGAAATAGTTTTTCCTTGTACTTTAATATAAGGGCTGAACCGACTGCAGTTTTCTGGCCGATCACTGATCTTTAAAAAGCCTGACCTGCAGATTCCCATTTTACTTTATTTTGTCTGAATGGTTGCTAGGTTGGCAACGATGGGGTTACAATTGTTAACCACAGGACATGACCAGGTGGGCCGGGCTAACGGTCAGTTCTTTCTCACGGCAGATCAGAAGTGGACAGAACCATTAGCTGGTATTTTATGGTGCTGGTATTTATTGTTCCTTCCTGACTGGGTCTGCTGCAGAACATACATCCAGATACACTTGGAGGTTTATCTGCTGTAAACCTCAAAGCGCTAATGGAAGTGCAATAATACTGTTACCATGGAGACTAGTCGCTGG